AACTCATGTGTGAGACAATGCAAAAAGGTTTAGAAGAGAAATAATTTGGTTATGAGAATCTTAACCCAATCAATTAATTAATCCCTTAATGGGATTAATTGAGTGGCAATTTAAGGCAGGTAGTTTGTGGCTAGAGGTGGGTCGTTGGGGGCATGGCTTTGGGGTATATATTTTATATCTGGCGAGTGGAGTCTCTCTCTCTCTCTGCCTACTGATCATCATGTGAGCTGCTTCCCTCTGCTATACTGTTTGGCCCCAAGGAATGGACCTGGCCTTCTGTGGACTGAGACCTCTGAAACCGTGAGCCTTCAAGAAAACGTTCCTTCTCTTAAAATTGTTCTTGTCTTTAGGGTTCTGTAGTTTTCATTGTATAAATCTTTCACCTCTTTTGTTAGGTTGATTCCCAAGTATTTTTTTTTTTTTTTAGGATATTGTGAATGGGGTGGTTGTCCTCATTTCCATTTCAGAGGCTTTGTCGCTGATATACAGGAATGCCTTTGATTTATGCGTGTTGATTTTATATCCTGTCACTTTGCTGAATTCATTTACTAGCTCTAGAAGTTTCTTTGTAGAACCTTTTGGGTCTGCTAGGTATAGGATCATGTCATCTGCAAATAGTGCCAATTTAAGTTCTTCTTTTCCTATCTTTATGCCTTTAATTTCTTTCGTCTGTCTAATTGCTCTGGCCAGTGTTTCAAGAACTATGTTGAATAGAAGTGGTGAGAGAGGGCATCCCTGTCTTGTTCCAGAGTTTAGAGGGAATGCCTTCAATTTTTCTCCGTTTAGAATGATGCTAGCCTGAGGCTTAGCATAGATAGCTTTTACAATATTGAGGTATGTTCCTGTTATCCCTAGTTTTTCTAGTGTTTTGAACATAAAGGGATGCTGTACTTTGTCGAATGCTTTTTCTGCATCTATCGAGATGATCATGTGGTTCTTATCTTTAAGTCTATTGATGTGGTGAATAACATTTATTGATTTCCGTATATTGAACTAGCCTTGCATCCCCGGGATGAATCCTACTTGATCATGGTGCACAATTTTTTTGATATGTTTTTGTATCCGAGTGGCCAGAATTTTATTGAGGATTTTTGCATCTATGTTCATTAGAGATATTGGTCTGTAGTTTTATTTCTTTGAAGTGTCTTTGTCTGTTCGGAATCAGGGTGATGTTGGCCTCGTAGAATAAATTTGGAAGAGCTTCCTCTTTTTCTATTTCCTGAAATAACTTGAAAAGTATTGGTATTAGTTCTTCTTTAAAGGTTTTGTAAAACTCTACTGTATACCCATCCAGTCCTGCGCTTTTCTTGGTTGGTAGTCTTTTGATGGCTTCTTCTATTTCTTCCATTGATATTGGTCTGTTTAAGTTGTGTGTATCCTCCTGACCCAATCTGGGCAAATCATATGACTTAAGAAATTTATCGATGTCTTCACTATCTTCCATTTTATTGGAATATAGGGTTTCAAAATAATTTCTAATTATCTTCTGTATTTCTGTAGTGTCTGTTGTGATATTGCCTTTTTCATCCCGTATGCTATTAATTTGAATTCTCTCTCTTCTTCTCTTCGTTATCATGGCTAAGGGTCTGTCGATCTTATTTATTTTTTCAAAGAACCAACTTTTAGTTTTGTCAATTTTTTCAGTTGTTTCTTTTGTTTCAATTTCATTGATTTCAGCTCTGATTTTAATTATTTCTTGCCTTCTGCTACATTTGCTGTTGTTTTGCTCTTCTTTTTCTAGGGTTTTGAGATGAAGTGTGAGATCATTTATTTGTTGTTTTTTTCTTTTTTTGAAGAATGAACTCCAGGCAATGAATTTCCCTCTTAAAACTGCTTTCATTGTGTCCCATCGAGTATGTTAGTCACAGCAGTGAAAAAGCTGACTAAAACAGAGATGACTAAAACTAGCAATAAAGTCTATGGAGAGGTAGTAAAGTATGTAGGACTAGTGGTAAAGTCTATGGAAAGACCTGCCCACAGGATGTGAAGGTGATTTTGCTGTGACATCTGTCCCCGCACTGATTTCCAGGGTTAACTTGGCAGGTCTCCCCTTCCTCTTTCATTGCTCCATGTGCATCCCTCCTGAAGCTGTATACTCATTCAAAGAGGAGGACCTTCCCTAATAGAGGAGGACTGTTCTTCAGTCAAGGGTTTATAAGTATCTGTACTCCCCTGCTAGAACCTCCAAACAAGCTCTCAAGAAAGACCTGTACTCAGAAGATAACTTAGATGTGAAGTAAGAAAGAGTTAGGACAAACTGAAACTTACATCTTTCTTGAATCTCCATCAACTTTGATGACCTGGTGAAGTATAGGAAAAGATGTCGAAAAGAAATACTAAATATAAATATGAATACTTCACAATTATAAAATGTTAAATTCACAAGAAAAAATACAACAATTCTAAAGTTTTATGCACCAATTAACAGGGCTTTAAATATATCAAGCAAAAGTTAAAAGAAATAAAAGAAACATACAGATCCACAGCAATAGTGAGAGATTTGAAGGTACCTCTTTTAGTGGTAGAAAAAGTACATATAAACATGCAAAATCCATAATGGTATAGAAAGTTTAAACAACAAAATTAACTTATACCAAGTGGCATATTTAAAATGCTATAAACAGTAAATTAAAAATATGCCTTTTTTTCAAGTACACATAGAACATTTAAGAAACTTGACTGTGTCATTAACTCAAACGTGAATTTTTCTACATCACATAGGTCTGAAATCATACAGAATATGTTCTCTAAATCCATTGCAATTAAGGTAATCTGGGTAAAACATGGATAACTAGAAAAATCTCTATATTCTTGGAATTTTTTATGAATGACCTGGAAATCAAGGTGAAAATCTCAAAGGAAGTTCAAAATTATTTTAAACTGAATTATATAGAGAACATTACATATGAAAATTTGTACAGCAATGTTTGGTGACACATACCTATAAACCCAGATGCTTGGGAGTATGAGGCAGGAAGATTACAAGTTCAAGACCAGCTTGGGCAACTTACCAAGACCCTGTCTCGAAACAAAAAGGTGTGAGATGTAGTGGCACAGTGCTTATGTAACATGCAAAAGACCCTGGGTTCAATCCTCAGTACCACCAAAAGAACAAAAACAAAACAAAACAAAAACCTTATGTAGTTATTTATGGGCAAATATGTAGCTTTAAATACAAATATTTTAAAAGGCTAAAAATCAGCTATCTAACTATATCAAGAGTTTAGGGGAAAAAACAAACTAGACTCAAAGAAATTAGAAGAATGTCAGATTAGTGAAATTGTAAACAAATATATAGCACTGAAGATCAGAGCTACAAAGTTTTTGATAAAACTAATAAAATGGATTAACTCCCAGTTTCAGAGGTCTCAGTCTCTGGTCTGCCAACTTTATTGCTTTGGGCCCTAGGTGAGGTAGAACATCATAGTGGAAGGTCATGGTGGAGGAAATCTACTCAGTTTATGGCAGCAAGGAAGCAGAGAGAGAGAAGGAGGAGCCAAGGGGTCAAGATGTGATCCTAAAGGGCACACCCACCTCAGTGACCCACCTCCTCCAACCATGCCCCACTGCCTGTAGTTAGCACCCAGTATAGTTGTACATTCAAATTGCTAATCTATCAAATGGCTTAATCCACTAATTAGGTTATGACTGTTGTAATCTAATCATTTCACCTTCTGCATTAACACAGGAGCTTTGGGGGAACACCTCACATTCAACTATAACACCATTTCATAAGACCAGCATAAGCTTAATAACAAAATTTTTCAAAGAAATTAGGATAAAGAAAATCATATGACTATCCTCTAATAAAGTATCTGAAGAGGAATCCATTTCCATGCTTTAGTTTTTATTTTAATCATAACTTCTCTAAATTCAAATCTTCAGCAATGCTGCCTCCAGGCACATAATGGGTTCAGAGTGGACTGAATGGCAAACAATTTCTCTAGGACTTTGTATGATTCAATATATTCTTCTCGGCTTTACCTCATTTCAGGAAAAGATGGGAACTTATCCTAGGGCCCTAATCCTAGATCTTGAGTATGTATAAGATTTACTAGTAGAGGAGAAAAAGGGCCTCAAAGAAAAGAGAAAACAAAAACCAAAATATTTACAGAGGAAGACATGGAGCATGTTAATAAATAATAGTCCATTTTCTACCCTTGTGGGTATTACACAAAAAAATGTGGCATTGCACAAAAAAAGTTCAGCAAGGGAAATACTGTAGCTAGACCTGTATTCTTTGACCCTTTCATAGTCTAAAAAGGGAAAGTGATGACTAAAGGTTTCCGAGAAGGGGATGACCATCTTTATAAGTATGTTTTAAGACTGATCTGGGGGCTGGGGTTGTGGCTCAATGGTAGAGTGCTTGCCTAGCACTGGGTTTGATCCTCAGCACCACATAAAAATAAATAAATAAAATAAAGGTTTTCATCCCCTTACAACTGAAAATTAAAAAAAAAATAATAATGAAAGATTTCCTTGAGGTTTCCATCTTAGGTGCTGTAACATTATTAACATGAATGAGAAAGTTGAGACAAGAAGAAATTTGATGACATGTAGAGAGACATAATGGGAACTTGAGAGAGGCCTAATCATTTAGAAGAGGCAGGGACTTAATGTAGCTCTAGGGTCATTGAGTAGTTTAGGCTCTCTAGACCTAGGAATCCAAGCTTCGTGAGCCTTGTTAACTGCTGCATCTCTTGTTTATTTATGCTACTGGCTTATCACTAAGTATACCCACAAATTACAAATTAATTTATTCACTCAGAAGCATTTCATGAGTAAGAATAAGATTACAAATTAACTTATTCACTCAGAAGCATTTTATGAGTGACTTTTGTGTTTCAAACATTTTGCAAGGTCTTAACAAAAATATGTAAAAACTATCCCACACATAAGACAGTAAAATTTACTTTCTTGTGAATTATTTTAAATACTTAAGATATATAGGCATATAATATTTTTGAAATGTTAAGTGAATGGATTTTTGTTTTATTCAGTTGAATTAAATGAAGAAAAGCACAAGGAACTAATAGAGAAAAAGGAGATGGAAATATCAGAGTTAAATGCAAAGTTAAGAACTCAAGAAAAGGAAAAACAAAGTGAAATAATCAAACTACAGCTAGAGGTAGGTATTTTAAAGTCTACTGAACTTGAGGATATATTACTTAGTCTAAACAATACTTCAGTTATTGTTCAACACAGTGAGATAAATTTCAGAATTTAAAACACTTCTGTTTTTATGCTCATTCTTCACCAGAGGACCTGCTCAGTCAACATACAACCATCAGCCACACTGCCTGTCAACACTGGAGCTGAAGGTGGACTCTTTAGTTGTTCAGAAGATTCTTCTTTCCAGGGAGGATGTCATTTCCTCTGAGAGCGAGAACAAAGACTGCCAGCATTTTACAGTCAAATATATATGAGCTTCATAAGACTGCCATTCCAGCCTGGGAGAGTGTTTTTAATCCTCAACATTACTCTCTCCAGAAGAAATTGTGGAAGTGTAGTAAACCAACTAGAAATTATTTTTGTTTTATCTGGATAAAAAGAGACAATTTTTTCAGTAAGGTTTTCTGTAAAAACACCTGTTTTAGAGGCAAACAAACCTAATTCCTTTTTTTAAAAAAAATGTTAAGGAACTTCTAGTACAGCATCTCATAGACTGAGGCTCCAGCTCTTGTTCTGAAGCTAATCACATGTCAGAATCTCAAAGATCCTGATATTTTGACAAAATATCTGTCCTTTAATTTTGTTCTTTATATTTTACCAGTCTCCTTTCTATATTCTTCCATCTCATTATGCTTCCCCACTTCAACTCCCATTTTACTTCGTGTTGTAAGAATGCAAAGATCTCCGGGTATGGTGGTTCATGCCTTTAATCCCAGCAGCTCCGTAGGCTGAGGCAGGAGAATCACAAGCTCAAGGCCAGCTTCAGCAACTTAGCAAGACCCTTTCTCAAAATAAAAAAGGGATGGGATGTGGCTTAGTGTTTAAGTGTCCCTGGTACAAAAAAGATAGTTCATAGGTCTTAGTTAAAATATACTGCTTATTCTCCAGAAACTGGTATATTCTTGGGGTGCTTGATGAGGTAATATGTGTAATCATATGGCAGAAAGGGGACTTATGTTGATTTTAGAAGTTCTTTGCTGATGCTGCTGGCTTATCACTAAGTATACCCACAAACAATAAAGAGGACGGAGGGCCAACTAAAATAGAATAGGTCATGTTTCAAGATTCACCATTGACTTTTAAACTATCAGTTGGGAGTCTGTATTTTGTTTATTATCTAGGGTTTGTCATTAGTCTAGTTCAAGTATGCTGTTAACCTATATATGGAACTCTCATCTGTCTTTGTTATAACTACATTTCTCCCCTCAAACCAGAACACAATTTTATGGAGAGTTTAGAAGTCCTCAGAGGCACAACACTAAATTAGAAAGGAAGAATTATAATGCAGTATTGTTCAAAATAAAATTGGTGTGTAAGAATGATCTATGAAAATTTTTAACCTGACTTAGTTTAATTTGAATGAATAAAAATTCAAAGTAAATCAATAAATTACATCCAAATTCTACTACTTAGCTTCAGTTTCTAGAAAAGGACAAGTAAGCTTTCCTCCTATGACTCCTATAACACTACATTTTCTTGACAAAAGTGCCCTTATGAGAATGTAAAAATATTTTTTCTATCTTTAACTTAAACTAGATCCTCAGCTCTGGTTGCATTATAAAATCAGCTGATGCTGACTGGGTATATAATTAAGTGACAGAGTGCTTGCCTAGCATGCACCAGGCCCTGGTTTCAAGCCACAATACTGAAAAAAAACACCTGATGTTTTGAGAAAAGTGAGTATGCTAGCTCTACCCCAGAGTTTCTAAAATAGTGTCCAGGTATTTGGTACTTCCTAAAGTTTCACCAAATAATTTTTTAAAATTTTTAAAATTTGTTTTAATTAGTTATACATGACAGTAGAATGCATTTATACACTTTGATGTATCATACATAAATGGATGGAGTTGGAGAATATCATGCTATACGAAATAAACCAATCCCAAAAAATCAAAGGCTGAATGTTTTCTCTGATATGCGGATGCTAATTCACAATAAGGAGGTGGGCACTAGGGAAGAATAGAGTTCCCCAAATAATTTTAATATGCAGTCAGGTTTAATCTTGTTTGGATTTTCTTTGCTCTTTCTTTAAAATTGTTTCTTAAAAGATTTTTATGTTGTCATATAAAGAATGCACTTAAATTATAGAGTATGTGTCAAAGGATATTGTGAATTATATTTATAGAAACATTTAATTTTAGTTATTGAACTAGAATCTTCTCAATAACTTTCTTTTTAAATTTCATTCAGTTTGATGCCAAACTAGCAAGACTTCAGACCAAATCAAAATCATATACAGATGCTACTGTTTTGCCACAGAGTATCTACAGAAGGGTATGTGAGATTTTTATCCCATGACTATTATTTAAGAAAATAAATTTTCTTAATGTTTTTCTATAAAAGTTACCTAATATTAATCTAAATATATTTAACAGATTTTTTCTTTGTATCCTTATGCCAGTTTTACCCATTAAATCTCACAAAACTGAAGTTATAAGCTTTTCAAAATATCTTTTTAAATACAAGCTTAAACCAGAGTATAATTTGTTTTTCATTTCTTGTTTTAAATTTTATTATTTCTGAATTGTAATGACAGTTTTTTTTTCTGCTTCATTTAGAAGCTTCAGCATCTTCAAGAAGAAAAAAACAAGGAGATTGCAATTCTTCGTAATAACATTCGTGATTTAGAACAGCGCCTTTCTGTTGAAAAAGATTCTCACCTTAAGCGTAGACGGTTTTGAGCACAGCTATAAATTCCTTATTACTATTTAATTTATTTAAAGACAATGGAAAATTTATTTCTATGTTCAGTATAAGCATACTACCTAAATAATAAAATTAAAAACAACTTTAAACTTTTTTATTGAGTTTATTTAGACACATCCATATCTTAGCCATCTGCATACTACATTCTTGCTTAACAGTATTATCCATAAAGGAGTTCAAGTTTAGAGGGTTTAATTTCCCTATTAAACCATCATTGACTATGGAAATACTCTAGGAAATCTAAAAGATAGACAACATTCTTTTCTTTCCCATTTCGTCTTTCAAGACAGCCAAATAACTGTATCATACTCTTCAAATTCAGAAGAGTGTGATACAGTGTTAAAGAAAGAAAATAAGATACAAAGCCTTTATTTGTAGATGATAGTAAAAATCAAGATATGAGTATTAGATACAAAAAAGTAAGCAGATATTAAAAATGTAGTCACATATATTTTCTTAGCAAAATAGTCATGTGTTAAGTATTTCTGGATCTTAAACAGAATCCACCTCTTTCTTTAAAGTTTTAATCAGTTAAAAATGTAAGATTAAAAGATAATATTATTTTGAGAGATAAGTAAAGAAAAGTGGAAAACATGTCTTCGTTGTTCTTCCTCCATTCTAAGTTACTAACTATCCAACAGAAACCCCTAGGTCATAGTTTACGTTTCTGTTCTCATCAATGCAAATAGAATACTGGAAAAAGAAAAAGAAAGACATATTAACCAAAAGCTGCAATCACTTTTCAGTTGCCTCCTAATAAAAATATTGTTTGGGTCAAAATTTCTATGGCATAAAATTTAAAATTTAGAAACCAGTATAGTAGATTTCTCTGTTTGCACATTATCCAATTCCTGGCTTTGGTTCACTAATTATTAATTACATGACTTGTAAAAATGCTGGAAATGAAATTGTGTCTAGACCGGCTTGGGGAGTACATCTTATTTTAAACATTTAGTTTGAATGTCATTTTCACTTTTTTGCCTTATTTTTTCAGCTTCAATTGGTGCCAACTTCTGTGGGATCAAGCTGCTGACTTCTTTGTCAGGCAGCTGGAGGCATTCGTCACTGACAAGATTCAATGACATTCTCCTCTGCCCTAAGTCCCTGTCAGCTACATAAAGATGGGAGGTTTTCAGCACACTGTCAGGTGATTGCAGACTCTCTTTTTTCAAATATCAGATGTCGACAATGGCAGCAACAGCTACTAGAAGCTGCCTGTGGATCTTTGAACAACTTACACTGTAATTGATTTACACATCCCTTTTGGCAGAGTTTCCTTTGTGCAAGTGAAAGCTGTAAACCTTCACTTCCTGCCATCTGTCAGCTCTCTGAGTTACCCTGCCTATACTGGCCCTTGTGCTTTTTATGGTGATGAAGGTCTAGAGGAGCAGGGTTTGAAGGAGTATCTGCTGCTCCTGGTTGCTGATTCTTTGAAAGCTCACTGCTCCCAAGATGCTGATGGTTGTGATGGTGATGTGGCTGCAGAGCCTCAATTGTTTTTTCCACAGTGGGCAAAGATACATTTCTACAGAAGTCTTCATTTTCAAGAGTCTGTAACAAATTTGTAAATCACTTATCAATAAGCTTGCAAATTTAGCAGGAATGCAAAAAAATTATTTGTAGAACTGACATACATGGGATTCCAACTAGTTAATTAGGATAGAGCTGATTTTGTGTTTCTTGCTTTATATTAATGAAAAAGAGTCTAATGTTAGTCTCAACCCCTAGACTTTTTTTATTAAAAGCTTAAAGAGAAAGCCAAATTGTGTATAGCTGAGAAGTAAAATTAAGTAAACTGGCTAAAAGAACTTAAGTTTCCATGAAGTCAAAACAAATATCAAAGCCTAAAATCAGTTGACCTACTTGGAACCTTTTGCATCTGTGCCAACAATACATCTACTCTAACATTGTTTTCTGAAGCAAATTAGTTTTTCTTTGATAAGTAAAAAATGGCAACAAACTCTGCTCAAAAATTATAGTTTTCCATACTTCAGTGTATGGCAGGAAATGTTTTGACTTAACCAAAGCTTTGCCAATGTGTCTCTGCTATAGTTCTGTCAGGTGAAAATAGCAAGTTACTGCCTGTTTTTCACTGACCATAATCTTCCATTATGCATACTAATTCTTTCATTTTTTGAAAAATTATTGTTTTGTGTACCCACAAACATACTTCAGGCCTACAGATATCACAGTGCAATATTAAACCTCAACCTAAAGTTGATTTGTAAAAATTACAAAATGAACTTGAGAACCCAGTGAATCACTAAGTGGTATGACAATGTTACGAAGTTACAAATTCCATTGGATTTTTACCATACATTTACTAAAGGGTGTTCTTTCTGGTTATTTATGAATTACTTTTAAATGAGAACTATGTATTTGATTCTAAACTTATAAAGTTTAGTAAATGTTTAAAATAAGTGTTAAATGATTTGACAAACATAAATAGCAAATACTAATCTAGTTTCAGAAAATCTATTAATTACTGACTGATTCTACAGTGCATATTTTTTCTCATTTTACTATTTCTGAAATTAGAGTGTATCTTACTGTTGATGGTGTTTTTAACACAGTGTTGTACTTTAATTGGCAGCATTTTTAAAGTATATCAAATAATGTTTATATAATTAATGACATCTAGGAAATAATGAAATAGAAAAGCTCCTATCTCATTTGTCTATGGGATACATATGGTGTATTATTATTATTTAAATGTTATTTATAAGGTTGAGTTGTGGTAGAGTGCTTGCTTAATATGAAAAAGGCCCTGGGTTTCATCCCAAGCATTCATAAATAAATAAATACATTTCACAAATTTTAAGTATATTATAGGAATTGTTTTTGCTTTTTTTCTATATATCTAGGTATATTTATAACTATCAGACACTTGCACAAATACAAAATACAGAAATGATACCAAAATAGGAGAAATCTACATAGTTGGTATTTATGAATTAGCATAGATTAGACATTGAGTTAATATTTTATTTCCATTACTCAGTCTCCTCATCTTTAAAATCATAAAATAACTATCACAGGATTATTATGGTATACGAATGGATTAAAAAGTGACAAATAAGTAATTATCCTGTTGTACTCCTTACCAATTAAATTAAGTTGTTTGTTAAAATGAAAGGTGGTGGCTTTCTTTAGACCTGGGAAAAATCAAAGTACAACTCACAAATCAAATTCAGAATTGTTTTTAAACCTGAGTTCAAATTCTGCCAGTCTGCCCTATCAAGGAAACTTTGTATAGAATTATTTTCTGTTCAATAAGAGAGAAAATAAGTCTAGTTAATATATTATTATTTATTCTTTTTGTTAAAATATTTAAATATAGTGTTTCTCATAACATTTTTAGGTAATGAGTGGAAAACTTACTCCACTTTCTATTAAATTAAATAATTAAAATTTCAGACTGGGAAGACAGTATAAGTTCTTCACAGAAAAGCTGGTAGTCTTTCATCCTCGATATGAGTAGTTATCTTGCCTCAATTCCTTGACAGGTAATGCCATAGGTAAGCTTTGCTATCACTATGCTCTTATGTGAACATTTTCAGGTTACTACAATAATATTTTTGTATATGTTTCCTAAATTTTTTGAACATTTATACTCATGCAATATCATTTGATGGTAATTAAAATATGTGACCTACATTGATTGTTGTTGTCTAAAACCCTTCTGGCTAAAGGCAGAATTATGGGTCTAAAAAAGATGTTTGAAAGTATGTGTTATATTTTACACAACAAAAAAGCGTGCAAAACAGTGTAATTACAAAATTATATTTCTGGTAAACCAGTAAATATGTTAATTAGATAACTGATTATGAAACACTAACTTATTTTGATAAGCTCTTAAAAGATTTCCTCTTTTCTCCCAGTAAAAATAATTGAGAAAAATACCCTGAAAGAGCAGTTTCCACATCTGTCTTCACAGTAAGCAATCTTAATGGCATCTTCTACATATGGGAAAGTTAGGAAGGAGTAAGGCAAACCAAGATGATATACAAGATGGCCACATCTAGAAAAAAAGGACAAACGCAATGTTATTACAATATTTTTTTGTATTGTGATCCTACTCAAGCACATTTTGGCATAGGTATTATAGGTTTCATGGTCTGAAACTTAAAATTCTTTACCTTCAGTAAATTTCTGTGGATTGGATCTACAAATGAACTCCCAGGCTCCATATACCAGATCAGGACTATAGTAAGTTTAATCTTAGCATTTGTATATATTATTATTATTATTAAATTATACCAAAATGTATAGTATAGTCATTGTGACTTGGTCAAACATGATTTTAAAATTGACATAAATTCTACAGAGCCCAAAACACTGACTTATAAATTAAGCTGTGCAAACCACATAAGGTTTTGCAACTGGTAGGGCAGTAAAAATTCCAAACCAGAAATCACAGTATAATAAAAAGATCTAGAATTGGCCATTAGCACATTTATTTAAAAATATATCTAATGCAACAAAAATTTCAGCACAATGAAGAACTCAAATTCTCAGAAATTGTGAGGTTCAAATATTTTTCTTGCCACATTTTACCCAGTAAGTATATAGGGTTTTATACAAACATCAAAGTGTTATATTTTATAACTGTCTAAGTTAGAAGTTTAAAGGCCTAAAAGAAGGAAATGTAATATTGAAAAAGTATTTAATAAAAGACACATAGGGCTTAGGCCTAGGCAGTGGGTGGCTTATCAGACTCTGAAGAGCCAGAAGAAAACAAAGTACCCACTGAGAATATTTTTACAGCAGGTATTGTATGCATTGAGTTTCTCTCAAAACATGACTTTCTTATTTGTTCATAAATTCAAATGAATATTTGTACAGATGATGCTTAAATGATTAGCACACTTTACAGTTCAGAAATGCAAATGTGTTGTCTTAAAATTATAAATTAGAGATAAACAAGACTACAAAGTGTGGTTTTTCATATACACAATACTTAGCGTAGAATTGTGCCTGGTCTGCAAATGGATTCTTCTGTTTACTTAATCAGAATGCCAATTCATAGGGAAAATATATAGTCGCTTCAACTTTACCTAGTTGAATGATGAACTCTTTTACATTGCCTTTCCTTGAAGAAAGCCATTTCAAACATATAGAAACCAACCCTTAAATGGGCCTATTTTGAAATTGGGTATTTGAAAATAAAACAAAATGAAGTGTCTTATTGTAAAATCACTATTAAAGCAGAAGGATAACAAGTAGGAATTGTTGCAAAAATCTAGAGGAACAGTCACGAGGAAGTAACTTGAGGTAGTGATTATGAAGAAGAGATAAATATAATGAGGATTTAGAGTCCATAGAAAGTCACAACTGACCCAACATGGAAGGTTGGATAGAAGTCAGTAACCCATGCCTGTCACCATTTTCTGAAGGGCAGATGGAAGCAAAACTACCACACACGATGGTGTCTGTGATGTCCTACAACATATTAGATGATGGCTGGCAGGAGGAAGGAGTGGAAGCCATAATGCTTGACCACCTCTTTCCCCAAAAGCATCCCTTTCTATAACTCTCACAAAGATTAAAGTAGAAGCAAGTTTTAGGAGAAGATAATTATCTTGAATTTAAGATATTTGTGAACATTTATTAAGTGGATATTCTAGTCTGGAGTTTAGTCATTGTGCTTGAGTTTTGTATATATTCGGGATCATCAGAATATATGTTATAATTGTAGTCAAGGGATAGATGAAATTGCTCATGGGCATGCAGAATGTGCAGACTGTGAGGAGAAAGAAATCTCAGTCATTCTTAATAACATAAACATGCACAGAAGAAACACAGGAAGAATGCCAGAGGAAGAATGAGGAGGAGGAAGAATGATATGGAGAAACCAGCAGAGTGTAACATCAAAAGATCAAAAGTTGAAACTGTTTCAAAAACTTAAGATGTGGTTTTAATTTCTAAATGTTAAAAAAAAAGATTACATGACAGGAGAACTGAAATATGGCATTGTATTTAACAATAAATATTGTCATGTCTGATGTAAATAAATACATACAAAGGAAGTAGGTATATTTTAATTTGGGAGGTGTGAGTGTATACAGACCTGTCATATATGAGGAAGTCATCTTTGTATCCATTTAAGAGTGTCCAGACATCTTTTTGGTTTTCTTCTTGTTGATATACAGGAATATGGTCTGAAACCTTATTTTTAAGATGTATGTATTTTAATTGAGAAGAGATTCCTTGA